AATGCTCGAAGATCTCAGTAGTGTTTCCCAAAGAGAGGGTCTTAAGATGAACATGGACAAGACGAAGATCATGTCGAATGTCCATGTTGTACCCGCTCCAGTTAAAATTGGGAGCATTACACTCGAAGTTGTTGACCATTACGTATACCTGGGGCAGACAATCCAGTTAGGTAAGTCCAACTTTGAGAAAGAGATCTCTCGTCGAATCCAGCTCGGATGGGCAGCGTTCGGGAAACTCCAAAAAATCTTTGCGTCCAAATTACCTCAATGTCTCAAGACGAAAGTCTTTGACCAGTGTGTGTTGCCAGTGATCACATATGGATCAGAAACGTGGTCCCTCACTATGGGCCTCATAAGAAGGCTCAAGGTCACTCAGCGGGCAATGGAGAGAGCGATGCTCGGTATTTCCCTGCGTAATAGAATCAGAAATGAGGAAATCCGTAGGAGAACTAAGGTATCCGACATAGCTCGAAGAATTGCTCAGCTGAAGTGGCAGTGGGCGGGGCACATAGCTAGGAGAACCGATGGCCGTTGGGGCGGAAAGGTTCTTCAATGGCGACCGCGTACCGGACGACGCTCAGTGGGTAGGCCCCCCACCAGGTGGACCGACGATCTGGTGGAGGTCGCGGGAAGCCGATGGATGCGGGCAGCGCAGGACCGATCGTCGTGGAGATCGTTGGGGGAGGTCTATGCCCAGCAGTGGGCGTCGTATGGCTGAATGATGATGATGATGAGTATCTGTGTCAGTTGGAACATGGTGACGCACTTCCGCTCTACCAGACTTCGAGGTTGGGCAGGATCGCGCCGACGACGGCGCGCTGCCGCGAGATCCACGGCTGTTCCAGCCTCTCGCGTCACTTCTCGAACGCCCGTCGGCGCTCCTACCACCGCACTTTCGGCGGCGCAACTTCCTTCGCCTGGCGGAGGCGCGCGTAAACCAGCGCGTCCATCTCCGCCAGGATGTCCAGCGGGGAAAACCGCGCCAGGACAGTCGCCGTTATAGCTATGCGGCACTGCACGCCATTGAGCATGGCTCTGCAGCGCCGGTCAGTAAGTGTGACCAGACGGTTGCCCCATACAGGACCACAGATCGCACCACCCCACCGTATAAATGGCGAACTCCCTCCGAAGGGCCCCTAGGTTGGGCAGCGACCGGTGCAATGCACCCGCCACCCTATCGATCCGGGGAACCAGGCTCCGGAAGTGCTCCTCGAAAACCAGGATGAGGCCCAAGTATTTTAAGTACTGCCTCACCTGTACGTCGACGTCACCAACGCAAATCCCTTCCCTCCTTCGCGGGAGCTTGTGGAACCACAGCGCCTCAGTTTTCTAAGGCGCTACTCGCAAATCCAGCTCCTCGGTTCTAACATGCCTAAATTATGAACACATAAATGATTGACAGGTCAATTCGTAAAACAAATTTTATTCCTGTATACTTGTATCAAAATTATTTTTTCCCTCCTACACCCGTAATACCATACGATTTTTTTTTTATTTTCCCGCGTTTTTCCTGTCTCATCTTTTGTTAGTCAGAGTCTAGGACTGATCATATTTTAATACTCAATACTCAATATATTTATTGCATTCTAAAATAATGGTCCACATATGAGCCCTTTATTAGGGATAACAATAAGAGCAGAGGTAGACCGTGATTTCAATTAATTATAATTGTTATTTATCAAATAATAATATAAAATAAAAATTATGTCATATAATAAGAAATACGTCATATTATAAGCAGAGTTATGTCATTTGAAAGTTTGAATTTAATTAGATTACAATAGCATAACTTTATAGTATATAATTAGGATTTATTTATTATTCAAATTTATTATAATATTATTGTTTTTATTTCTCATCAAAGAATTCATTTAAATTGTAATAGCATTTATTAATAAGATATAATTTTAATTTATTTACAAACAATAAATACTTTTCCTCGTTTTTAATAAGCTCTAAATTAATTAAGCTCGTTGAATATCCTCACCGACATCGAGTGGGGACTTGAGCTGTGTATGTGTAGCTGAGATCGTAGCAAAAGCAATTATGTTACATCGACATGATTTTACTCAGACATTACGCTACCTCGACAACACTGACGAGATGTTTCTTAAAAAATATCTTTGTATTCAGATAAGAAAAATCATCATTACAAACCCACGTAGGAAATGATTTCTTATATCGATCTATAACAAAAAAAGGACAACATCATATATACGGAAATTATTTTATTAAAATACAATGTTTTTTAAAATGGGCCAGTAAGGGGAACTCCGAAACCATAGAAGATACAAGGAAACTATCTTAAGAACCGTAAAGTCGTCTTTTTTTGTGAAAACAATTTTGGCATAGTCAATTTTTTGGTCAAGCTTGAGTTGTCCATAAAAACGAATAAAATTGATCAAAATCTTTTTTAGGGCCACATCAACACAGTTTCATGACGGAATCATTTCATTGTATGGGACAAAGAAAATCGGGACGGCAGAAGTTGATAGAAGAAGAAATTTAACAAAATGTTATTCATTGTGTATGAATAACATTTATTTTTTTAAATTAAATTTGATCAACTTTGCTGTCCCGCTTTTGATCTTCCGATTCAATGAAGCCATTCTTTTAAGAAACTGAGTCTATTAGCATTAAAAAAATTTAGTCAATTTTATTTATTTTGTATGAAAAATATTTGATGGAATTTGATCAACTTCTGCTGTCTCGATTTTTTCGTCCCATACAATGAAATGATCCCTTCATGACTGAGTCGATCTACACTAAACAACATTTTAATCAATTTTATTCATTTTTATGGGCAACCCACGCTTTACTAAAAAAATTACTATGCCAAAATTGATGTCATCAAAAAAACTTTATGGTTCCCCAGACAGTTTTCTTGTATCTTCTATGATTTCGGATTTCCCCTAATTGTCCCATTAAAAAAAAAACACTGTATAAACTGTAACATAAAAAATTATTAAAATAAAATAAAATATACTGTTTCAAAAGTCCAATCCATTATCCAAAATTCTGCTTCGAAAAGCAGTTCAAATTTTCTTCCGTCCCGAAAATAATAATTTATGTTTTATCTTTTTACTGTAATTAGGTTTTTGTAAACAAAAAACGGTATTCATTCAAATTGGTATCAATGCAATGGCGTTGGTTATAATGTGGTAAAATTTTATATTAATATACTACATTATTACCGATAATCCAAGCAGCACTTTTAAATTTTGAGGGTAGGTTTAAATTGTTTTCATAAAAAAGACGACTTTATGGTTCCTAAGATAGTTTCCTTGTATCCTCTGTGGTTAAAAACACTCTGTGTTTTAATCAAATAAATTTCCGATTATATAATGTTGTAATTTTTTTGTTATATAGATTGATATAAGAAACTATTTCCTATGTGGGTTTGTAATGATGATTTTTCTTATCTGAAGACAAAGATTTTTTTTAAGAAACATCTCGTCTGTGATGTCGAAGTAGCGTAATATCTGAGTAAAATCATGTCGCTGTAACATATTGTCGGGGTAGCGTAGTGTCTGAGTAAAGTCATGTCGATGTAACATATTGTCGG